TGTGAGATGCGACGAGCCTTCAGCTATGCCGTCTACTGCCATGTGGCCCTTTGGGATTCTCTAGTCTGCTTTTGCCCATAGGTTGTGGGCGTTTTCTCCTTCTGGATGCATGCGCCGAGGTATGCACAAAACACAGCGGCACTGCGCGGGTGGTTTTTGAAACGTAAGAAAGGCGGACCCGCGTTCCCCGGGAGGGGCATTAGCAATGTAAGATTTAGGGAAATGCCCGTTTTGGGACTTTGAATACTGGGCCGGCATCGTGAGATGTTTGGTTCGGCATGCAGGATTTGTGGTGTCCGACGTTTTGGGAGGTCGCTCAGGGGTGGGTGGATGAGAGATGTTCATTTTGAGGGGTTGGCAAGGTGCAAGGGGGTTTGTATGGCTCACGATTTCGCTTGTTGGTGGCTCTGATGAAGTTTGGGTATTGTAGGAAGGGTTTGGGTCAAGTCTGGTTTTCTGGATTATTGCTTCTTGTACTGAAGTGCAGGCTTATCGAAGCAACCTGCGCGTGCTTAGTATGTGTTGTGAATGGCACAGAAACTTGGCAAGATGTCTAATGTTCTTCATGCTCGACAAGACGCCTAGACTAATTTAACTGCATTAGATAAATATGACATCAACGAGGCGGTGGTGGTCGTCTTCAAATCAAAGGTTTCCGTCGCCGAGCGAAAAATGAACTCGAGGAAGGGTATCTTCCGTGGACATCAAGTATACCGCCGTTCCCTCAAGGTGTATGACCATGTCGCATATGTAACGTGGCTTTCGATGTTGGCAACTGAGGGGTTGCGTATTCCTAAAGGATACGCTCGCGACGTGGACGACAAAAGATGACGGTAGTTGTCTGGATGCTATCATGCTTTGTGTGGCGCTGATGATATTTTCCTGCAGGCTTGTCAGTTGATATCCCATCCGCTTGATGCTATTCCTCTGGCAATTCTCATGTTAGACATCAAAAGGATCGATTGGTCTGGCAAGCGATTTGAACGGCCCTTGTGGGGAGGTTTTATACCAGCTACGGAAGGGGAGGCTCTCTATCAGCATGAGAGTGTGTCGTAGTGTTGGAGGTGTATGTATATATGCAACTGGCTTTTTGGTTACTGTGTTTCTGTCTTAGCAGCAATGCACCAGAGCTCCGGTGGCCCAGGTTTCCACTGAGAAATCTTACAAGGCTTCATCTTTTGGAAGAGTATCCACAATATAGCTAGCCCAGTGATACATATTAACATGCTTCGAGCAAGATATTGAGGCTTAGTGTACTTCTTAGAATACATCTGAAGTAATGAGGGAAGCTGACGAGAAGAAGTTACCGAAGGTTTCTTCCTCAGGGCACTGGCTTTGGCTTGACACGTGCTGTGATGTAGGAAGTATGTTGACGAAACGGTCAGGCCGTCTTGTACAAGACAATGATCATGCGTAAAGAATGGCAAGAACACCAGCGATCCTGGCCAGGCAATTTTAGGTAATGTCAATGGTCCTGAATACATCATATCAAAGTGCGTTCGATGATATGCTGCCGCTTCCTAGGGCTGGCTTGTAAAGTTGTCTTGCACTGCAAGGGTTTGTGCAAAACACAATCCGTACAATACGCTGATAGTCTGTTCTCAAGTCTAGAAAATATACAGACGTTCTGTTGCGGATAGAAGACCGCATTTGTGTAAGTACGGCACATGATATCGTTGCAAGAAACTCTTACCGTCGTTTAGGTGGTAGAACAAATGGATATATCCAGGAAGACGGAAAAGAAGAACGGCAGGGCTGCTCGGATGCGCTGGTGTAAAATTCGGTTCGCGTCGTGGTAACTTCCATGGATGGTTCTTGTAAGAAATGCAATCTTCCTGCGAAAGAAGGCACCACGACGCGCTCATTGTTGCTGGTGGTTGGAAATGAAGCTCATCGCTGTGAAGATATTTAAGTCTTTCATATTGGAAGGTTTATCCCCCGTCGGGTCCAATGTCGGGGGCTGGACTGCGTCGACACATACCGGTTGGAGCTCGAGAGTATCCCAAACCAGTTCCGCGCAAGGTATATTTTAGGCATGCTTGATGTCCAAGTTCTTCGCGCAAGATGGCAATTACAACGTGTCGCCATGATGTTGCCAACGCGTCGTATGCACGTTGGACATGCTAATTTGACACCCCACTAGTAGTCAAAGAACCAATGAAGAAAACAGTAGCCTGAGTTGAAACTGATTCTAAGCTAGGCGCAATGCACAAAGAATAATTTGGAATCGGTTGCGATGACAATAGACCGGCAATGGAGTCGTTGGAAAGTGATAAGTTCGGCGCGAAATGGAACCGCTTGTAGTTAGGAAGGAGGGTCATGTGGCTCACCAGTCTGCCTCGCGTCTCTCCGAAGATCAGTCTCGGCTTGCCCATGGTTTTGGCATCAAGTCCTGGAACTCACTGGCCTTTCGCTTGTGGCGTATTCGAGTGGAGAATACTACGGACAACGATGACAAGACAATCTCTAGTACTCCTACTGGTAGTGATCGGACTCCCGCCAGGCGTGACGTCGCAAAGTAGAGTTTGGATTAACAGTTGAGACCCAGATATTATAGCATAGGTCTCCACCAAACGCCGCAACATTGCGGTGTGGTCTTGTTGAGGCAGCTGTGGTAAGATATTAATAGGAAAATGCGGCGGGAAAAAAGATGCCTGGGGCTGCACTTAGAAGCAGCGAAGAATCGAAAACGAGACATGGGGAGTATATTCGTCCAGGCCCTCCTGTACTCCGACGTACAAATCTCTGGGTCTTGGGCCATACACAAGTAACTGCTGACTTCCTAGTACTTAAGATCTTGGCTGGACGGCCTCAGTAATCGATAGACCAAGGATTGGTGTGCTCCCGGGAGTTCTGTTCAGCCAATAGCTGCGATCATCAACACTCCATTGCGCAAGATTAACATGCCGTTATGCGGTCTTCGTCTGGACGATGCCCTGCTTCACAACGTTGCCTGTCTGTTTCTGCTATTTCTTGTTTCCGTCGTATTCACAAACTTGTTCGGGTGTACTGCACCGTGAAAAATCAACCGGTCTATAAATCTGTTTATATACTAGCTTCTAGATAACTATGTCATGAAAGTTCCAGAAGAAAATTCTACTGGTCTCAGTAAACGTAAGGTGACGTGTTCGATCATTGTCGTTGAGAAAGCCAGGCTACGGGCTCTGCTCTAATACATAAACTCTGACATAACATCCCGAAGACAAGAACTTCAAATCTGCCCACATTTGAAGAGAATCAGCTGCTTTCCAGGCGGAAACAATTCGGTCGGCACCGTAAACCCCAGAACGGAATACCGAGAGACCCCATGGTCGATCATGTCTGCAGGTTCCCAGAGCAACGACGCACCCGGCGGCTATTGCACCTCTGCTTTTCATCTTTATTAGAGAAGGTTTATTCGAGGGTGGTGAAGTCACCTCAAAACTTAGTACATGTAACCGAATGAGACGTAGCACTCAAATCTCTCAGCGCTACAGTACACAGTGAGTTCATGGATAATGCCCACAAGCCAAGAAGCCAGGAGAAATAGAGCACACCCGTCAGCCAGTCTACGGTCATCCTGCCTTGAATCATTTCCGCCCGTCAACGATTCCGTGGGAATACCACAACGATCCCAGAATACACGACGCAGAGAGCAGTCCTTTCCCCCTCCTTCTGTCCCATAGGTCGATCAGTACCTTAGAATCATGAATCTTTAGGAACGCAAGACAAGTTTACCCATCTGGTACAAAGCGCTGTTATTGAAAGACAAGTTGGAACAGCCACGACTCCCTTCTATTATATCAAATACAGAGAGTTCGTATTGAGTTCGCAGACTCTCCGCCACTGTAGCTCCGCGTCATCGTGCCAAAGCCATGGAAGCGGTGCAGCGTCGTAACTACAAGCTCAAACGCAAGACTCTTTTTCGAGCCAGATCTTGCTACTTTAAAAATCTGTGGTGGTCTTATCAGTATTCTAAACCCACAGAAAAATCTAACTTCTGGGAAATTGTTGAATAACAGGCGGAAAGATTCATTGAATCCTCGACCGAGTTCAAACTCAAATGGCAGGAAAACGCCTCATGAAAGAAGAAGACTCATTCTATCACCGTCCATCGTAGTCTTCTGATTATTGCATAGTAAAGGTATTCAGGCTGTGATGACGAGATTCAGATGAATCTGCCTCTCTGGATATTCATCGAAACAATCCTATACTCGAGAAACATCTTGAGGAGCACATCTGGAAGGAAATGACCTCCCAGTTGATTGTTGTCCTTCAAGTGAAATGGAATTTACAACGCGTGACTTTATACAACAATGTGAGCCCGTCAATGCGCGAAACCTGCAGGAAAAGCCAAGTCCAAAATTCTGCTGCGACTGACGTTGGTCAACAGTCACGAACATGCCATGCGGCGCCCATTATCAGAAGGCTATAAGAAAGCGGTGGCACATGTATGTATTACTCCAGAAAAGCAATGCTTCCCGTATTCGCTTTGGGTCACGCGCGCGTCCTCAAGGATTACATCCTTGGTAGAAGCCTTCATCCCTGAAAGGCATCTCCTAGAGAGTTGCTTCATAATACTCCTTCTTCATCATTGCCCCTGCTTCTAACGTATTCATATATTTTTTCTTTACGTAGCAGACAATGGCTGTCTATGATTTCCGTGGTGAATTAGTTACCAATTCCATTGTTGACCGAGGAAATGACTTCTTGTTCAACAACAACTCGGGTTGTCGTCACACGTTATTCTTGGCTGTCCTCGAGTCAGGTAGCGCGGCTACGAGGCATTTATATCTGCTGAGCCTATGTGTAGACGAAAGTTCATGAGCGTTCAATCGCGACACGCAGCAGTGGTGTCTGGAGGTCTGTCTATATCTGGGAGCTGTTGGCAATATATCACAGCCACCCAGTTCCAGCTTCAGAATCAAAGTTGATGAATTAGGATTAATGAATTAAAGGGGATATTTTCAAGTTGCAACCAAACAACGCTCGCTCAGACAAAATATCACCCAAAGTAACCCTCAGGCACTTTCCTCGTCAACAGATAACCTCCGACCCTCACCCCTCGCCCCGCCCTTAGACGTGCCATACATCTCAATATCATCGTTCATCCTACTCCTCGCCGGCGAGGAGCCCCACGTGGATGATTCTCCGCCGCCGCCAGTAGCCTCGCTGAAGGCGGCCGTCGTCGCCACTGATCTCTTTGTCACGGCGCTCGCGCCGCTGGCCGACTCGTGCGGTCCCGGCGTTGCGCTGGCGCCGCTGCCGGGGAAGAAAAAGCGCCACCACATGCGGAAGGTGGGCATGCACAGCGGCAGGTTGCCCACGAGCATGGCTGTGGAGACCTCGCGGACGCACCAGAGGAACCAGATAGGGGCGGTCTGGTTTGTGAAGACGCTTACTTTCGTTAGGATCGCAGCGAGCATCTAGCTTTTGTTAGAGAAACAGGTCAGAGAGGGCAGTCATTTACTGGGCGCTTACGACGAAGATGCCCAGGCTGAATAGGCAGACGAGCAGTATCTTTCTGTTGAAGAACAAATGGTCAGTTCGTTCGAATCACTGGGTGGGCGAGGGGCGTGATGCTTACTTCCCAATCTTCATGTTCAACCTGCTGATCAAGACGACGGGAATGATCAGAAGGATGAGATCCGTGGAGAGGTTCAATGACAACTGCAGGCTGTTGTAGTGAAGCCAGGTCAGGCACTCCACTGATCGCATATCGTTAGAACAACCGACATCTAGGGACCAAACGATGACCACGACTCACTGTTATCCGGCTCCAACACGAGGTAACCCGAGAACGGCCGGCACCATCCTCCGTACAAAGCGACGATGACTGCGACGTATGCCAAGGCAACATATGCCGAAACAAGCACCCACATCCTGCGATGATGACAGAAGAGACTGTGTGTCCCCGGGGCCATTGTCAGCCATCCTGGTCCATGAAAAAATCTGAACGAACGGGAGGAGCCCACGTACGTCAAGCGGTGGTATAATAACAGAATGCAGCATTTGTTGCCCCAAAGAGTCGTCTGCATGGACGTCTCTGCGAGGATGTTGAGAATCCCGAGCTTGCGACCCACGACGAAGTTATCCTCGGCAGTGATGTTGTCAAGGTCGACGTCCGATACGATCTCGAAGTATAGGAACAGCGCGACGATTGCAGTTGTGTATGTGATCTAACATGTTTTCAGAGTCAGCCGGGGGTTTTGTCACTCGGGAGAAAAATGATTAGGAGAGCACACGATGGGGAACGTACGCTGAGGAGCAACATCAAGATATCATCTGGCGGGATTTCCTTGATAAATTTGCGCTTTCTTACAATATACTGCGATGTGCTTTTCGTCCAAAGGTCAGTTCATCGTCAAATTGAGACCAGATAGTGAAGTCGGACGAACAATCGGATGACAACCGCTGTCATGGCCAAACAGTACCAGACCCAGCACTCCGCCGTCATCTCCACCGGGTTTCCCATATTCGTGACAGGATGCAACCACGCCGAGCCAAACCGAACCGTTCTTCGTATACTCGATTCGATGTTGGCGTCGATGCCGTTGACCCCGAGATCTACCATTGGTGTCCGTCAAGAGCGTTCATCGGAAGTTGTGACTCCAGCATTCAATTGCGACGATGCGCCCCGACGGCATGAGAGGGGTCCATAGAATTATAAGACTCGAAAGGAATTTGAGCTGGCCGCCGACTAGTTCTAGGCTCGGCAGTCCCTGGCCGCATCCGGCAGGCTGCCCGCCGAGTGCCAGGCAAGCCAGAACGACTCGAGGGATGGACGGGCACTTGCCCCTAACGACACAAAGGCCTGTAAGCTCGGATCGTAACCTAGAAGCCACCCGCGCAATGCCATGCCGTCGTTTTGGAGGGGGTATGCGATAGCTGGAGCTATCTGTCGCCAACATTTGCGTGTGGGCGCGAGACAAACGGCGACGAAGAGAGGCCCGGCGGCTCGGTCGAGGCTGATCATCACCAACTTTGCGCCGGAAACAGCCAACGCCCATATCGACATGGCTTTGAGGCGTAGCACTAGCTACTCATGGGATAGCTTTCCGGGGACTGACTTTCGCCTCTTTCCTCTCTTCTCTGACTCTTGGGTTGCCCTCGTGCACAACATGCTCGCAAGACAAGGGATATCATCGAATACCGACCCGATGGCCGTTTACCCAGGAGGGTGGTTGAGACAAATCAACCGCCGAAAGCAGGCGCAGTTTTGATTCCAGCCTCACTTTCGGAATTGACGCCGCCTCCACGAAACAGTAATCACAAATAAGGCCTGGAACACAGACGGAGAGGCAATTGCCCGTTACTCCGTCTTCTTCTAATTGTTGCCCGCCTGGGCATATTCGATGAGCCTCACAGCTGAAGGCCTGCTGGTTCTGCACTCTCAGAAGGCGGAAAGGGCGAATGATAGGACACCAACACAACGATAGCAGCGATCCGTTTACAGTTCATAGACTGCTTTATTGTGCCAGAGGCATGCTGCGTTGGCCAGGTTGAACTTGGACACATGAGGTTATTTCTCGGTGAACTGCGGCTGTGATGGATGAAGTCAGAGCCTTGCCCCCCGCAGCTTCCCGCTCTGCAGCCGCTGGCACATTCCGCGCGGGGGCCATGCAGCCAAAGATGGCGGCACCGGTTGCAAAGTCGACGCAGGACGGGAGCACCAATTAGTGGGCAATTAGGGTAATTACAGCGCCCGCTCGGTTCAGCGTGGGACTTCTTTTCTTGGAACCCATTGCAGCTGGCAGTAATAGGTGTAGTCGGCCGCAATGTGATTCGTTCGCATATCCTGCGGGTGAGATTGGATCGAGTACATAGGAAAACCAACTGGAACGGCGGGGATTGGTGTGCTGAAGTTCGCAGATCGTCCTGAACGGATGCCTGTGGGGGAACGCTGCCAAGGACGTCCTTCCTACAGGCCAGGTGACGGCGAATCGGCTGTCTTGCACAGATGACTAGGCCTCGAGCAGGGTGGTGGGCATCTCGTTGTTCGATGCCGGGTCGCAATGTTGAGACCTTGAACCCGCACAAGAGTGTCGCATCGTTGTTCGACCAGCCTTTGGCGCGCGACCCGTTTGCCTGCGAACAGCGTGAGAAAGCGTCGACAAAAGTCATCCGGAGCTTTCTCACCTGAGGGAGTCTGGGTGACGACGACAAGGCTCGGAGAAAATGGTAGCCGTGGGCGACTAGGTAGGTATTTGATTATGGTTAAGTGGGTTCGACCTAGAGATGGATGGAGGCTCTTGTCTGACGAGTTGAGCGGAATTTCGACAGCCGCGCTAAAACGATCTGGATGTACGGTCTTCATTGTTGCTTCTTTTGCGTTTCCGCGGTTCCGTGCCTTGAGGTCGGCGTTCGGATATGTTCGCCGACAAAGATCGACATTGTTTGTCTGCTGCCATGCCGAAGATGACGTCTGGAAGTTGACCTGGTGGATGCAAATGACGGAGGTGAACTGCAGGGAATGTCGGCCGTGTCCTAAAAATGGTATAATTTCTGCGGAGGGACGCAACTTTCAGGAGTCCAGAGATGCGAGGTTGAGACGAGGTTGACTGTCGAACTGCAGCTGCAGAGGTAATGACATAATTCTCAATCTTCAAATGGCCTGGCTGAAGACGTGATGAAGTTCGGACCACTTGCAGCGGGTGCAGTAAGCTTTCAGCGCAGGCTTGATTGACCTCGAGGTTCGAGACGTGCAGGCACCGCAGTACGTACCGACTCGGGTTGGACAGACCGACAGGCAACCTAGCAGGGGGCTCTGGACCCCCCGCCTTGAGCATCGAACCCCCACGAGTGTCGCACGCACGTGAAGGAGCCCTGCGGTTTTGTTCTAGAACTGCGTTACCTAAGGAAATGCCTGGGGGGTTGGGCCACGGAAGAAGTCGGGCGCAACTGTTGATGACGGGCTTCGTCGCATGCGAATGCTTCACTAGGTCTTCACATCTCCCGACTGAACGTTATCTGGAGCCGTCACGAGACACTCATCAGACGCACCCAGATCTAAATGAAAGAATGGCCCGAGAGAGGGGTAATGAGGGCGATCACTGGCATTCGGAGCCCGAGGCCAGTTCCTGGCCAGTTCCTTGCATGTTCCATTGAGAAGGGCTCAGACTGTGGACTCGAACTGTGAGAGTCACGAAAGAACCCGATATTGGATCTCTGGACAGGCAAGTACCGGTGGCGTTAGATTAATGCGAGCTGGACTGTTGTTACTCTGACTCCATAGCGACGGTTACATCCAGTGTCTGGTCCCCGTTATCGTACATGGCATGCGGCGGTGCAGTGCCCGATGCCGGCTGGGTACTATTCCCAATCTTCCGCAGCAGCTGTCAGTGTCAAGTCGGATGGCACCCCGACTCGAGGCCAGTGGACATGAATCCGCCGGCCGGGACGGGATGTGGTCGACTGCCCAGCGCCCAGCATGCGGGTGCCACCTTGGGCAGTTGACAGGTCAGCTTTTCGTCTTGGCTTTCCTCTTTTCTCCTGCCGCTGGTGATGTCTGTATTCGTATGTATGTAGTTTTCTGGATATGTAGTCCGAACCACACGGGCGGGAGTCTGTTCACAGAAACGGATAGGCAGGACTCAGCACGCGGCTGGGAACTCACCGGCCTGCAGTTCGCTTGGCGACGAACTTATGTAGCGAGGCACCGGCGCCGTTACCGATAGGGGAGGGGTTCCACTAAATTTGATAACTGCTGGCTAGAGTCCTCTGGTGATCGGGGCGCCTGGCCAAAGAAGGGTATCGTGTGAGAAATTTTCCCAGCCGTGATATCTAGCAGCGACTCTCCGCTCTCCTGACGGGGGAGTCGCGGTTTTGACAGAGGCGGGTGATGCTTCGGGCTTCCTCAACTGTTGGTCATCGCAGGCTATTGTTTCCCCGATATTCCCTCCGAGCCGAGGGGCTAAAACGAGAAGCTTTTCGTCCCACGGCGAGGGACGAGAGTGCAGACCGCAGAGGGACCAACCTAGTCAGGGTCTCGTTGAGCACAGACAGGACCCTTCAGTCTCGGATCGACTTGTCGGGGCAGGCAACTTAGTCAAGGCATTTACCACAGAAACCATTGGTGACTGTGAAGTGGCTCGCACTCAAGGTCCTGAACTGTGGACATTGGTGTGCAGTTGAAGAGCATCCGGCCAAGTAATTATTCCTGCAGTTGGCCAGGGACATGATACTGAGGTAAGGTACCTAAGCATGCAAAAGGCCCTCCGCGTCTCCAGCGGTGCCTGATCTGATGGAGGCGGGGATTTCCGAACCTGACAGTGCAGTCAAAGAAAGACCGGACATGAAACCTCGTTAGGCAGTTGTTTCGTCTTCTCGGAATGGAAGCGTCAAATGCGCCCTGCTGCCCTGCCCTGAACGTCCTCCTCCTGTCCCGGTCGGTTTCTGCAACGGTGTGACGGGAGCGCAACACGTACCAGCTGCTTCATTCAATCTTCCACGGGCCATCAGCGTTCACCCGTCAACCCAGGCTGTCCTTCTCTCTTCCCATTAAAACCGCGTGTCCGTCGGCAACGGTTGCTGCAGAAAAAAAAACATGGCTTCCTTGCTGCGCAGAAAGTGCTGGTCGAGTGCAAGGAAAACCCTTGGCAGGTTCAGTGCGCTGGGCACGGTCCAGTTCCTCAAGTTAGCGACCCTCAACATCCTTGATAGTCCCAAAGCTTGGATCCGCCGACATGCGCAAAAAAAATGTGTCCACGGTCTCGCTGACCAGTCATGGCCCTCCAATGCCAGTGCAACTCAACCACCCATCCATCTGCATCTGGGCAGCCCATCCCATCCGCCTCCAGCGTCCATCCTTCTCTGCCCGGGGGTGTGTCCCCCCACCATTATCAGCTGCTCGTCCTCTGCCGCCGGCCGCTGCTCGCCGTCCTTCTGCCAGCCTCTCTCCACCAAGAGAGGCAGCTTTTCTCTGCTGCCACCCTCCCCTTCTCGACTTCATCCATCACCCGTTAACCAATCCGTCTGACGTCTCTGCTACCCAACAATCGAGAGAGATCACGTCTTCTCACCAAATTCTTTGGCGCGAAGCACTTGCGCTTCTCGCATTTGACACGTAGGGCAGCCTCCAACTGTCCCCACGCAACTCGAACACGACCCCACGACCACCTGCGCTGTGCATTCCGCTTCTTCATGCGCAATCTATCGACAACCTCCGACCATCTGACTTTCCGAACTACCTCTTCGACTATTGGTATTGATCAACTATCTCGACGATCTGAACTACTGAAAGTGAACCGGGCGGAGAAACGCCTACGAAAAGATTTCGGCGCATTGGTATTTTTGGAATTTGTGCTTCGGAACCCGAATTAGCGGCTCGGAAAATCAGTGTCGCCATGATGGACGCCGCATCTTGGAACCAAGATCCGGCCTTGGCGCCATCCCACGATGAGGAGTTCCAGCAGTTTTTGAACATGGGAGGCATGGGCAACTTGGGCGACTCGATGACCTTCGACTTCAATGACTTCCAGTCCGGAAGTGGCTCCGGCATGATGCACCAGTCCGGCCGTGAACAGCTCGACACACAGATGGGAGGAACCGACGCCAATATGGTCATGAGCAACGCCAATGCCGCCATGCAGACGCAGCTCATCAACATGACCACTGCAGCTGCGCACCCTGCCATTCCCACGCAACTGATCCCTCCGCCGACTCCCACAGACGCCATCACCGAAATCGATGCTCAGATCCAGTATCTGCAGCAGCAGCGCGTTCAGCAGCAACACCGCCAGATTCATGAGCAGCATGTCTACTACACCAACCAGCATGCAGTTCCCCCAACCCCCCAAAGCCTTGAAATGCCTCCCGCTAGCAATCAATTTTATTCGGATCAAAGCCGAACCCCAATGTTCGACAACCGGTACCAACGGATGAAGGAGCAGCAAGATGTGAGGTATTCTCGTTAACGATCCCGAAAGCGCATCGCTGACTATTTCAGATGGCCTTTACTCCTTTGGTGTCGCCTGCCGTTACGCCGTTAGATCCCCATTTCCAGATGGAAGCCGGTGGCTTTACAATTCCTGGCGCATATTTCAGCCCTCTTACCTCTCCAGCCCTTCATGCGCAAAGTGACCAGGGACTTTTGTACGACCGCCGCTCGTCTCTGTCGGCGCACAACTCCCCCGCCGAGATGGACGTTGAGACATCAGCAAACGCGCAGCCTGCGGCGATGGATTTGGCCAAGAAAGTTCGCAAGAGCAACGCAAGAGTAAAGGCCAAGCCGAGTGTTCGCCAGTCTCCCATTACGAAGCCTCAGCGGAAGAAAGCTGGCCCGACACCAAAGATGGTGTCGCAAGCCCTCACTGAGATGCAGGAAGTGAACGAAGATGGGCTTGATCAGATGCTGCCTTCGACGGCCTTGCCTGCCCCTATGAGCAGCGAAGAGTCCGAAAATGCATCAGTCTCACCTGAAAACCTGTCCGACATGCCGCCACCACCACTTCCCCAGAAGGCGTCGAGCAAATCACCATTCATCCAGCCTCAACCTCAGCCCCAGCCACACCCCGCGATTCCGGCTCACATCCAAGGAAAGCCCTCGCCCGCCACACCAGCTTCCCTCATGAAGCTTCCCTCATCCAGCGCGAACAACTCAGCAGCGTCAAATCCCCAAGACCTTGGGCCTTCGGATCATATCGAATCCTTCGAACTTCCCGAGTCCGTCAACTTCAACTCAAGACCCCAGCCTCCGCGAATTGATACGGCAACGCCGACTCAGTCGCCTTCAGATCCAGGCTCGGCTAGGGCTTCGTCGTTCCAGCCGCTGCCATCTCCCATCTTTGCGAAACCGACTGCCGCTGCTTCAGCGAGCGCAAGCCCGAACCTCGCACCGGGCTCCACGGGTCCCTCGGCACGCAGGACGCCCCAGCTGTTGGCAAGGGGAAGCAAGGGTAGCGGGAAAAGGGGAAGTGTCAGCTCGGTTCACGTCTCTCCTGCTCTGCGACCCAGGATATCACCTAGCATCAAGCCGCTTCTGCCTGGCACGCCCGGCGGGATGTCTGTCGAGGATACAGCCTCCCGCCTTTTGGCTTCCAAGTCAAACTACCAGAACATTCTCGAAGGCAACACTGTTCCTGGCGTCACTTACCCGAGCGAGCTATCGACGAACCTCACGTCCAAGCGCACGTCCCACAAGATTGCGGAACAGGGCCGAAGGAATCGCATCAACTCGGCACTGCAGGAGATCGCAACGCTTCTTCCCCAGCCGCTGAAGGAATCGGGCGAAAGCGACAACGCCGACAAGAAAGAGAAGGACAAGGCGGGAGGCGCACCGAACAGCAAGGCTAGCACTGTCGAATTGGCGATTGAGTATATCAAACAGCTCAAGCAGGAGGTTGCCGAGGCCAACAAGAGGGCTGAAGAGCTCGAGAAGAAGCTGGAGCGCATGGAGCCGTCAGGAAGCACGGAAACTGTTGAACAAAAAGAAAGCTCGACAGAGTAATGGGTGCGCATTAAGGGTGGCTTATGGAGCCTTCGGTAGCGGGATATCCCAACAGGCACGATATATACGAGGTAATCTAGGAGCATCGATGGCGGGTTATTTGGATTTGTATAATTGCTAGGTTTATGTGGCCATGTAAACGTTATATACCATGGCGAAAATAGGTGCGAAAGGATTGGCTCATGTTCCAGACCTTCTAGATCTGGGCATAGCACACGGTAGGATTGACACCTTGTGATCATGGGCCATGTTCCAGGCGTCACAAAAGTCGTCGCACAAAGTGTGGTTGTATATTGGGTATCACAAATGTAAAAAAGAATAATGATGCATCGTTCCTATTTCCCGTCGCACGTGGATGCGATTTGATTTTTGTCTCTCCCCTCCGAAACTGACGTCCGAACCCCAAGACAACCCAGCTTTCCGTAAAACGCCGGCGTGACACACGCAATTATTGGCTGTCCCGGTTGTGTTCCAGAACGTCGACGTCGAGCTCCTCCATGACCTCCACGACGAGGTTGAGGCTCTCCATGAGGCCGTTGACGGAGACGCGGAGCATGCGGTTCGTGGTCGCTTTGTAGTTGACGCGGAGGATGGCAGACTCGGAGGAGTTCTCCTCGATGGAGAAGGTGCGTCTGACGAGCGGCGAGAGCTCCTTATCGACTGCGAGGGCCTTGTGGGCGACGGAGGCCAGGCGCGGGGTAGGGAACGGGACGTCGATAGTTCTGCGGAAATCTTGTCTTAGCTTTCTTTTTGTGATTTTCGTCGGCTTTTCTTTTTGTCGCAAATGACACAATGCGCGACACACCTTGCACGGACTACAATGCGACAAGTGAGAGTCGGGAACTTACAATGAGCATGGGAATTCGGTATCAATTGCGTTGTCCATGGCTGCGGTTTTTGCGGGAGTGGATTGGGCTAAGTGTGGGCGCAAATGTTTGGAGGGGGTTCAGGAATGGGGAAAAAAAAGTTGGTGTTTGGCTGTCGGTCTTTACAAAGTCGTCATTGGAGCTGGCGGCGGCAGCGCAAAAAAAGGTGTCCCGCCCACCCGATGATACATAGCTCACCGCGGGACGGGATGGGATGGGTTGACCGGGACGGGACAGGACAAGACAGGATACACAAGGACGGACAAACTCCTTCTAGATGGCAGCGGACAGCTCAGATCAGAAGAAGACAAGGTGCCCCGCCATTCCACGAGGGTGACACCAGACAGCGCATGCGCACAGGATCGCTGCGTCGACAAGTACTGCGCAAGACAAGAAGCCGTGCAAAGATACCTTGGGGGCAGTTTGCAAGGTGCGGCAGGTTGATGCGGACCTGGACGACGTGGGGTTGCCTAGGCGCTGGGCTGGCTGCGGCAGCGCAAGACTCAATGCCGCCCCCCGATAAGCAAGGCTAGACTCAAGACGGCGGGAGGGATCACTGCGAAGGGCACTGAGGGGCAGTGGACATGGATGGATTTGTTTTGATGGGTGTTCGGACTCCTTCGTGGGCGACAGTCAGTGGTCAAACAGCCGTCAAAGAGCTGGTTCGGGTTTAGAGACATGAGCTGGAGGCGGGTGCGGTTGCCTGAGGCGCTGAACCACGTCGAACGATTCGTCAGGAGGCGCGGGTGGTCTGTGCTTCCCCTTGCTGGTTGTCTCGACAACGGCTGGCAGCCCGGCAGCCAGCAACCAAGCTTCTCCGTAACAACAGTCGACCCTTGCTGTTTTGGGCCTGCCCCATATTGACCGCTTCGGCCAAAATAACAGCAAACCATACAAAAACACCTGCATCGGTCGCTCCTAACCTTTGGAATACCTTCCTTTTCACCATCTCGTACTCTCGCCAAAATCTCTTCAATTCTTGCGCTGCCGCAGGAAAGCGCCGCTTTGATCGTCTCTGGGTTGGATTGATTGCACTCTGCCTTCGCTTCGTCAGGAATACCTCCCTGCCTTCGCCGCCGACTACAGATCTTGTTGTTGTTGTTATTGTTTCAGACCCGACGATTCCAACATTCCTCACCCGCAGACCAACACATCTCGCTCGCATCCGCACCTCCGTCGCTGCCTTCCCTGGATCGCGCATTACTTTGCATACAAAGAGTAGCCTCGCCTCTGTATAATTTCGGCACCTGCCTTATCCTTTCCGAACCAGGCCCGCTTGCACCTGCATCCAAAAGAAGGTCCCGTCGCAAGAGCAATTGCCTCGTCCAAACACCATCAGAGGAAACAAAGTGTCACGAGACCAATGGCCCCTTCTTCTAAGAGCCCAAACATGGGCCAGGTTATTGAGTACATCCCAGGTAAGCTTCCCTTCCCGTCTTCGGACCTCAACCGTCCATTCGCATCGTCGCCATCATGTCGCATCATTACCCTGCGCGGAGTCGGCACTCAAGATCGTCGCACAGCGACCTGAGCGCAACACCCTCCAGCATGAGCGCGGCATCGCAACAGATCCATCCCTACTTTTATTGCGCATACTTCCCGATCTCCTTTCTGACTGTCCTCTCAGACCGGCTATACCTGGCTGCGTACATCCACCCTCCCACGGCCGAGACCATCTTCCCCTACGGCGAGCCCGTCCAGACCTCCCCCAGGAAACGATCGCAGAGAGCCGCCGAAGGGCCTACTCCCGTTCAGTCCGCCGCCGTCCGCCCTACGCCTTACTACTTCTCCGTCGACGACACCCTCCTCTACAACGCTTTCCACCACGACTTCGGCCCGCTGCACATCGGTCACCTGTACCGCTTCGCCCTGCAGTTCCACGATGTGCTCGGTGCCAAGGAGAACAAGGATCGCCCCATCGTCTTCTGGAGCAGAGCTGACCCCAGAAGTGAGTACCAGTCTCAAGGCGCGATGAAAACCGGTCACTAACAGTCGCCCAGGTCGCGCAAACGCCGCTTGTATGCTCGCCTGCTACATGGTTCTCATTCAAAACTGGCCGCCTCACTTGGCGCTGGCCCCCATCGCCCAGGTCGACCCCCCTCTGATGCCCTTCCGTGACGCCGGATACAGTCAGGCCGACTACGGCATCACCGTTCAGGACGTCGTCTACGGCGTGTGGAAGGCCAAGGAAGAGGGCTGCTGCGCCCTGGACAACTTCGACCTTGATGAGTACGAGAAGTTCGAGAGAGTTGAGCACGGAGACTTCAACTGGATCACACCACACTTCCTGGCTTTTGCGTCACCCCAGCACACCCCCGTCGCCAAGGTCATTGAGGGCACTGAGGAGTGGGATGCGCTCCCCAAGAGCATTGGACAAGTGGATGCCAACAAGGCGCTGCCCCAGCCCTTCAAGAACGTCCTGAAGCACTTCACTGAGCGCAACATTGGCCTTGTTGTCCGCCTCAACTCTCCCCTCTACTCTCCCTCATTCTTCGAGTCCATGGGCATCTCCCACCTGGACATGATCTTCGACGACGGCACCTGCCCGCCTCTCACAACCGTCCGCAAGTTCATCAGGTTAGCGCACGAGACCATCACCGTCAAGAAGAAGGGCATCGCCGTCCACTGCAAGGCCGGTCTGGGCAGGACAGGTTGCCTCATTGGCGCCTACCTCATCTACCGCCACGGCTTCACCGCCAACGAGATCATCGCCTTCATGCGTTTCATGCGCCCCGGCATGGTCGTCGGTCCCCAACAGCACTGGCTGCACATCAATCAGGGTATCTTCCGTGAGTGGTGGATTGAGGAGCGCATCGAGCGCAAGCTCCGCAAGGAGATGGCTGCCAACGCTGCTGTCCCCAGCACCCCCATCCGCGCCATGCAAAAGACTTCCCTTCGCAACGGCCAGGCCTCCACACCTCCCCACCGCAGCACATCAAACAGGACGCCTTTGAGCGAAGTCGACCACGACCGCAATAACATTGGGGCTCAGGAAGACTACCTCCCGGCGCCAACACCAGGACAGCCAAGAAAGACCAACAGGGCAGGTGCAGACCGTCATCATCCCTACCAAAGAGCACCTTCATACCACGCAACTGTCGATGAGGAGGGCGCAATCCACCAGGAGACGGAAGTGATTTCCGTCCACAAGCAGTCTCGCGGCCCCAACGAGTCTGACGAAGAATGGGACATTAGGATGCGCACACACAGGAAGACCTCGCAGTCGCCTACTCGCAGTGAAAGGCGATCAGTTAGCCACTCCGCCGCCACTGTGTACCAGACATACATCGACAACGATGCCAGCAACGATGCGGAGAACATCGGAACACAACGCGTCAAGAACCTTGGAGACCGCGTTAGCAGCGCATCAGGTGTCCTCACCAAAGTTCGTGGCAGCAAGCGTTCGGGCGATTCGCCATTGAGGACCAAGGAAGGAGTACGAAAGACGAGTGGTCGAGTTGGCAGCGTGGGCAGCTCAGCGATGTCCGCGACGGCCGCCTCGACCGCGCGCAAAGTCTCTGGCGCGTAGGAGCGCCAGAGACGTCTCGTTCGTCCAGGACTAAGAGTCACTTCCGAGGACCACTAGGTGCTTGCTGATAGCTTACTAACCACTTATGATGATGATGATCACGACCGGTCCATGTCGATCTGCATGAATTGGCGTTGGGTTCTGGCAACCTTGAAGATTGCGGCAAAGGGGAACTGGTGTTCAATGGGAGGCAATCCAGCGTTGGCTGGTATGATGTCTACGACATTGCGAAACGATTATGACGATGATGGTCACTTCGGCGTATCTGACGAGGGCTTTTGCATCTTCTCTCTCTACCTGCCCAGGCATTCAATGCATATATACCAGGGCTGGCACGGCAGCCAGCCGGTTCAAACTGCTTGGAGGGTTTCTCACAAACGGCGTTCATGGGGCATAAGGGTGTTGAGTATTGTAATTGTATTTGTTTGTTTGCTGTTTTCAACATTATTTTTTGGTCGTTCCGTGCGCATGGGCTAGAGGCAGAGAGGAGAGGTCGGGATGGTAGGCAGTGGCAGTGGGGCATGCCTCCTCCCGGAGAGATGTTGTGAGCATCATCGTCAGAATATGATGGATACGCTTTGCCCGCTTGATTTTCCGCAGCAATACAAAAAGTACGCACACTTGATCAGTCTTGAACATGGTGATGTTTGATTGGCTTGCTTCGTCATGTGTAAGTGCCTCTTTGCTCAACCTGCATCAGACACAGAGCCTCCGTAAACCATCGATCAGGCAGATGATGATCGTGAAAGCTGGTCCGGGGCTGCTGCGGTAGCCTTCAGGGGTCTCTATGTAAGTATGACCATGCTGAGGTCACTTTTGCCTCAACGAACAGGCCAGATGGCATCCTCTATCTTAATCTTCTCAATGAGAGCCAGTTCAAAATATGGCATCCATCTTGTACAGAGATGTAGGAGAATGGCATGTATGCTTGTTGAGAGTGTTCACAGCTCCAGGAGGCCTGGTTGTAACTTGGAAGCATTCAGCTGGATACCCTGTGGAAGGAAGTGATGAGGGACGAGGTTGGTGGAGATATGAGGGGAGAGTGTTGGCCGGAGAATGATGGCGACAAGGCCTGTCATCCATGGAACGCATCTGGGAGCCTGAGTATCCACGAGATCCTATACGGTGCAAACAAAGACCTTGGTTACATCCCATTGGAGAGTTCAACATTGACAGCGGTATTGGTGGCTTTATATACCCTCGCCAGACGCGATCCAAGCTTCGAACCTGGGGATGGTCTTTCTGTTGAGAGATAAGTTTGGGAAGTGTATATATTTACCGTCGCTTTGGCAAGAACTCCCGTCATGCAAATTTCCCAGGGACATGGCCATGTTTCTGGATAAAAGGCTCCCCGGGCGTTCCGCATGAAATGTGAGGCCATGGCTGGTTCTTCAGTCCATGCACTGGACTCGAACCTCGTGTGATAAATTTGTGGAATGAGAGGCCGAATGATATGGGAGCGGCCGAGATGAAGGACGGCAGGTAGCCGGGGCATAAACTCATGTCCTGCTGTTTTGTCGATGACGGGAAGCGATGTCTTCTTGGAAGAGACAAACCCCCCGCAGGCGAAGGTTTTATGACACAATCTACACAACCTAACGGAGAGCTTTTTGATTGCTTGCCTAAGCTTTTCTTCTCAGTCGAACAAGTCCCTATTTATCTGACTGGCCCGGAGTAAGGGGGTTGAGACCTAGCCGTTGACTCGTTCGTGTAGTAGAGACTCGTTGACCATCTACGGTGCCAGTATATATTGCATGCTAACGGCAGTTCCTAACGTACCTCCCGCGCAATATGGTCGGTCTCGGAACGCCTGAGGATGGAAGACTGAGCTAAGACTGACTGAAGCAAGCTCCTCGCAGGCGCGATACTTCCACAGGTCGTCTCACTTTGCTTTCTCTGCCCCCCGGCACGGGATACCTCCGTCGTCATCCTGGACGTCTCTTCCTCGATTATCCATGGATATTCTGGTCTCTGAAGTAGATCTTCACTATCCTTCTACGCAACAACGCATATTCTTGTTTTCCTTGTGATATCGTACTCTCCCGGTTCATTTGCAGATTCCAAAAACTCCCATTAGAAGCAGGCATTTGCCGGGAACTGAAATCGTCCTCGGGGAGGACTACTTATGAAGACTCTACGTAGCCATTTGGAGTCTTTGGTTTCCATAGGAGGCTGCATATAAGGAACGGGTGCGGGGTTCTGGAACTGATTGCACCAAGAATGGTGGTTGACATGACTGTGTTCTCGATCCTAGATTCTTCAATCACCGCCTTAGGCTAGAAGCATTCTCGTCTTTCTTGACTGATTCCTTCAACGAAGTCTTCACATTCTCTATCTTACGTGTGTCCGTAGAGAATCATCGGGCAAAGGCATTTGCAATCTTCCCCCGCGGTGATCTTGCAGAAAGACTATGATCTCTACCCTGCTCAGTGTCTGGATTCACGAACCAGATGTGGTGTTTTGGATTTAGTGACGAGCACGACGCCTTCATTTTGGTCCAGAAAGGGTAAATCTGTGGCTTCCTGGTCTTTGATGAAGACAGATTCCCACTCTCGGCTGGCTGTTAACCACAATATGGCATGCATGCGTCGCTTTGATATTGGTCAAGAATACTTACCTCTCAAATGCAACTGTTGCAGATGTCCTCTACTCAGGCATACAATCCTTGCCTGAGCTATGTCAATGAGCTTCTAAGGTCAGTATTAGAGCCCCTCCTTGGTGACAGACAATTCGGAAGAGGCGATGAGTCTGTAAAGTTGTAGGCTGGCTAGTGGCTGGCTAGTAGTAACGTGAATGTTCATACGTCCATATGCATACGCTGTGTGTGTACTACTTCTGCTTCGGAGAGAGGCCAAATACTACAATTGACAAACAAGAGACGACAGAAGTGCCGAGCCATTGACGACCTGGCCATCCAATGCTTTCGTTGACCAACACATGTCGGAGTTCACAGACACAGTATTTTATGATGTGATCTTGACTTCTGCGGCATTGTTGCACAGGACATTGTCTTTGGCTTCTGCCTCATCAGAAATCAATCCTGCATGGCCTATTGATGAGACGCGGATAGCTTGGGCACGGTGTAAACCACCTCCAGCGATGACGCAGGTGACCATGTGATTTAAGTGTTCTCAGAACCATTTGAAGTGCTAATCAGTTTTTGAGGCACATATTTTACTTCCATAATATACTAGGTAGGCAACCTAGAAATCATTGCCTCCATGTTCTTCAGTGGCGAGGACAGACGAGCCATAGCAAGTGTGCCTTGTCCGGCTACACATGTTAGATAGACCTCGCCTGGTCTCGTCCCCTTGACCATTCGAGTCTTCAATAATGGTCCTAGATGGGGTTACGTGTACAGGACTTGAGTTTTGTATGTACTACAAACCTGACTGCTGGATTTAAACACTGACGGGGACTATAGAAGATCCACTACCCAGTCAGAGCTGCTCCTCTTTCCAAGACAACAGTTGTAGGGTCGTGTCGTTCTTGATCCCCTAACAATTTCCTCCATATCCGCAACATGTGCCCATACGATCGTTGCATCAGAATTTATACGTATTGGCTTAATTATTGCGCCGCTTCTAGTTCAGACCGAGGTCCAAATATTCCCATGCATAAACAGGAGACGGCAGAGACACAGGCCTGGATCGAGATTACCACGCCTTTATTGTTGTAGTCATGCTGGATTTCAGAGACTTCGCCTTATACGAAGTGGACGGCTAAATCTGCAACATTATCGGGTGATATTGACGTGTATCTGTGTCGATGTGATACAGAGTCGTAGGTCTCTAAGGGCGGAAGCCACCAGCGGGTTCGCAAGACAACATGCAATGCTGATCTCTCTGGGCTGTCTGAAGTGACGGTATATATTGTGGGTTTGTGGTAAGTCTTATTCTTTCATCGCAATCTCGAACTGCGTTTCGGATCGTAAGCGTTTTCTGCCGTAATGGTATCGTTACGTCCAAGTCACTTAGTGACAAGCTCGGGCAGGTACTCAGCTGATGCACACAGCTATTGTTGATTCGCTTTATCTACCAGAAACTGGTGCGATGATACTCTCCAACGTCTACTTAAGTCATTTTTACCTGGCCACCTGTGTGGATATTTGGTCAAATGACTACTGGCTCGGCCCACCCGTACAATTTTTGGGCTCTTTTGAAACCATCGTTCTCCTGCGACCAGGTGGTATACGAACATCTCCCCGTGTACCTCTGTGTCCCCAAATCCGTATGTAGTGTGACACCATAGTTAGCGTCTTCGTCCGAATATGGCGAGTGTTGCAGTTTCCTCAGAGGTAGATACTGGTGACCCGGCTCGCACAGATCCGGTACCCATTCGCCTTTCTCAATTGTTACCCGGCATTTTGGCGTAATGACAACCAAACATGTCTTGCAGCTTAGGAGCATGGGCTTGTTGTTCGATTTTCCAGTATCGTCTGTTCGCGAGCAAATCTCCTGGCATCCAACATGGTCATGGCGTTCATGATCATACCCATACGTTAGAGGTATCTGCTCCAACAGAAGGACCCCAAGGTCTTCGTTGCCAACTGCAATACACGCAAATCCCCAGTCCGCCAGCATTGCTCTTCTTTTAACGCCATCTGTAGAATTCATATACACTCTGTGGCCGAGCAATGCGCTTATGAATAGTCTGGCTTCGGCCACCTGTCCTGACCGATGTTGCCAGCCTGCAATCATTAGTTTTGCTCTGAAAGAGATGTTGTTGTTGGAGTCGCCGGTAGGATCGCTGATCTCGGGGTGCATTCGCTTGAGCCGCTAGAATGAATACGATTCTAGAGGATTGTGCGGCATTTCGCTTCTAGCTCTTCCCAGCAATGCATCAACAATGGCTTGCGTGTTTTTCCCCTGCTCCCAGATATCCAAGGCTCGATCTTCGCGCTGCGTATTCCCACTCTCCTGCCAAAGTATATGTGCCATAGTGGACGATAACATCTCAGCACTCGACTTGGCGGGGGTAGAACGTTCGATCAAATCCAC